ACACACCCCGTTGCCTTTGAGCCCAGCGCGCTGGCCTGCTGCCACAGAGGGTGCCCCGATGCCCTGACCCCTGGCAGCCCCTGGACATCCCGGGGTGAGTGCCAGCTCCTCAGCTGTCCTCTCCCCAGGCACGTAAAAAGCAGCACTATGGCCAATTCCTCTCCACACCCCCGTGCTCAGGCACAAGCTGTGCTCCATGGTTGTGCCCCCACCCTGAGCTTCTCAACCAAACGGGACGGATTTTATCGAGGCCTGTGTTCAGAGAGCTCTTGGGTCTCATCCCCATCTCAGTCTCCTGCACCACGCTCACCCCCCAGAGACCAGCTCTCCTAAACGAGGGCTGCAAATGACATCCTAACGAGTTCCCTCCACAGAGCACAAAACCCCCTTGCAGGTGCTGGAGAGCCTGAGCTGGGACTCCAGCTGCAGCCTCAACACCTCTCCCACGAAACCCTCAGGGTCCCCTGGGCCCTCCCTGTGCTCACAGCAGAACCCACTGGAGAGCTGGAGAGCACACCCGGGCTCCTGCAGCTGCACAGGGAGAGGCACAGGCAGCACTGCACAGGTACCACTGCCCAGGGAGAGGCACAGACACCACTGCCCAGGGGGAGGCACAGGCACCACTGCACAGGCACCACTGCTCCAGGGTGGACTGTCGGGCAAGAAACACACCCCTGACCCCATCCAGAGTTCAGAATCCATCCCTAAAACGTGTGAAGAAAGCAAATAGTTGTTATGGTTTGCTCAGCAGGTCACCCTTCACGTTCAGTTCAGCCTCTAATGAGCAAAAAGCATCATTCTGCCTGTTGAAGCGACAGCAGCAGGGGAAGGAGGGAGCTAGAGCAGACTGAGGTTCTGTTTCCTGTCATGTGCAGTGTCAGGTACCTCCAGTGAGCCTTCGGTGACAAACTCTGCCAGGCAGCTGCTGCTGCTGGGACAACCAACTCCTCCTCCTCCTCGGGCTGAAGGGAGCTCTGCTGGCAGCACTGCTGCTCCCCGGGGTGAGGCCAGTGGCTGCAGAGCTGCTCCGGGCAGGGGGAGGCCCACGGACAGACAGACAGCCCCAGGGGGGTGCTGGTGTGTCCCCTGCAGTGCTGGGTGCTGGTGCCCTGGGCTGAGGACACCCCAGGGCTGGGCTGCTGAGCAGCTCCCGGGCTCCCTCCAAACTCCCCTCTCCAGCAGCCCGGGGGTAAGGCGAGACCCTGGGAGGGGACCCA